GCAGATGAGAATAGGATGGGGTTCTACGTAGACAAATGCAGGGTGCTGCACCTTGGGAGAAGGAATCCACAGCATACATACAGGCTAGGGAGTTCGCCTCTTGAAAGCACAGAGGCAGAAAGGGACTTTGGAGTCCTTATTGACTTCAAGATGAACATGAGCTGCCAATGCCAGACCGCAGCCAGCAAGGCCAGCCATACCTTGTCATGCGTCCAAAGGTGCATCTCAAGCCAGTCCGGAGAGGTGATACTCCCCCTCTATGTGACTTTGGTCAGGCCGCAGTTGGAGTACTGCATCCAGTACTGGGCGCCGCACTTCAAAAGGGATGTGGCCAGCCTGGAGAGGGTTCAGAGGAGGGCCACCTGCTTGGTGAGAGGGCAACAGGACAGGCTCTGTGAGGAGAGACTGAGGGACCTGAACCTATTCAGCCTCAATAAGAGGAGACTGAGGGGGGACCTGGTGGCTGCCTACAAACTCGTTAGGGGAGATCATCAGCAAATAGGAAGAGCCCTATTCTCCCCAGCACCACCTGGGGTGACGAGGAACAATGGTAATAAGCTGATGGAGAATAGGTTTAGGTTAGAGATCAGAAGGCAATATTTTACAGTTAGGGTGGCCAGAATCTGGACCCAACTTCCCAGGGAAGTAAGTGGTCCTCACCCCTACCTTGGGCAAATTCAAAAAGAGTTTAGATGGTCACCTGTCTGGGGTCTTGTAAACCCAGTGTTCATTCCTGCCTGTAGCAGGGGGTCAGGCTAGATGATCTAATTAGGTCCCTCCTGACCCTAGCTACTATGAAACTATGAAACAATCTACGCAACTTAGACTAACCTATGAATATTGAATCAATTCAGCCTGGGGTTTTTTGACTGTCTGTACTTAACCCTATACCCAGGTTCGTTTCACAGTTCAGCATGCTTTGATTCAAGGTTCAGGTCTGGGAAAAAATAAATGGCCTGGCAAACATCAGGCATGTGGGCATTTCCCAACTGCTAGCTGAGAGCACGGTTTTGCTGAGAGGCTTCTATATTTTCTTGGAAGGCATTTTATCTGTCATTGTTTCCTTTCCTGTTTGTTTCTCACTAACATCCTCCACTGATTTAACCTGGTACAGTCAGGTAAACTATATTGACCAGGTAACAGACACATAATATTCAGATAAATAATATAGAAATGTCCCACATTTTCCACAGTGTATATGAAAATTAGGCGTTCAGTTAGAAAAAGAAAAGCTGGCAATATTATATGGGACAGTAAGGTAAATACAGAGCAGGAAAATACAAGGCGTTTTTTCTCCAGAAAGTCATGAAAGTTATTTTAATTACAGTACATTCTGTTATGGTTTTCTAATTTATAATTTAGGACAGCTTGAAAAGAAACCTGGTATTAAATTAATAAATAGGAAATCAGAAGTAACTGCTATTTTCTAAGTATATTGTTTATATTTTTCATTAAAGGTGGCTATCATCCAGTGAAAATTGGAGATCTTTTCAATGGCCGATATCATGTTATTAGAAAGCTAGGATGGGGACACTTCTCTACAGTTTGGCTATGCTGGGACATGCAGTAAGATATCTACTTTTATATTTATTCTCCTCCTTTTCCATTTCTAATTAGAGTAAAGGCTGCTGCCATTTTGTGAATAGTCATTTCTGCCTTAGAACAAGAGTTTGTTACATCAGTGTTTTTTTGTGGTTTTGTTGCTCTTTGTTAACCAGCTATATATAGAAATAATGACACTGTTTTTCTCATTTTGGTCAGTGATATACTTTATAAAACTTGTCAGGAATAAGTTTATTTTTAGTTTCTTTGTCAGATTATTAATGCTTATTGAATTAACATGTTCTCTTAAACAAGCTAATGTTTTTATTCATCCTGTATCCTTAAAAGGAAATATAATTATATTTTGATTGAACGGTAAAATATAGACCTAAGTTCCCCTTTTAAAGACATTAGCATTTGAAATAAATTAAGTCAGCCTGTCGCCTGAATGTTTTTGATGTTGCTTCAAATATAGGTAAAAAGGAATTGTTCTGTGTCAGAACATACTACATTGTTCAATATTACAGTATGTGCCCAAACGAGTATATAATTGCATAAAGTATGCTTCTTAAAATCTGTTAACTGGATATTTGTTGAATAATTATTATTGTTTTCAAGGGGGAAAAGGTTTGTTGCAATGAAAGTTGTAAAAAGTGCCCAGCATTATACAGAGACTGCCTTGGATGAAATAAAGTTGTTGAAATGCGTAAGTATCATGATGGCAGTGCTTTACCAATCATAGTAAATTCCCATTGTCTCTTTGTTTAAATAAATGCTTTTGAACTTCATCTTTTTCCCTAAATCTTGTATTCCCTAAATATATTGATGTTTTATTACTTATTCTCGTAATTTATAAGACCCCATAATGCTGTTTAGATTTTTAGAAAATAAGAATTTGTATATATCTTAAAGTTAAATTATTACCTAATATATTCGTATGTACTTTCTTTGCTTAGGTTCGTGAAAGTGATCCCAGTGATCCAAACAAAGACATGGTTGTACAGTTAATTGATGACTTCAAAATTTCAGGAATGAATGGAATACGTATCCTTTTATAGTAATTCTACCTATTTTAGAAGTAAAAAAAGTGATAAATGTTTTGTTTTTTTACACAATTTCTGTGTATACACCACGCAAGACTTTTTCAAAGTAACCCTTTAAATTAGAATATAGAACTACTAATGCCATATTAAAACATGAACATCGGTAGCATTGGTAATTCATTTACGCTAGTGAAAAACAGGGCAGGTCCAAATATAAAAAGAATAAAAGATAAACATGTTTATGATGAGCTGTCTGGCCTAATAGAATACCAGATGACAGGGATTTTAAATGCAACTTTTCTGAATAATATTGTTTAACTTATCATATGTTTATCAGTGTATTGTATTTCATTGTAAATACTGTGGAACATTAACTTATTGTGGACTGGAGAAGATTTTTTTCTAAATGCAAGCAGGCAGCTTATGTTGAAAGGATTTGAGTTTAGATTCCATTATGTATTACTGTTGTAATGTGGAGGGGGGGAACCCTCAAAAGAATGAGAGAGAATTACTCATATTTCATAAGGTGTCATTAAAGAAGTAATTTAGCTTTTCCCTTTAAACTTTACAAAATTAAAAGTTAGAGTCTTGTTAGGGTAGAATATTCCTTAAATCCTGACGACTGTTAGAGGACAGATTCTGAGTGACAAAACAGGCAGTCGCATAATCTTTAACAGCATAGAATTGTCAGGTGTAATGATTCAGCTGAAAAGTCATATAATAAAATACAGCAACTTGACAGGTATTAAACATGAAGATTGGATAGTTTTAAAGGATTTATAATAGCTCAGACTAATGGCGAGCATATGTTCCCTCCTGCCTGCTGAAGAATAGAGATCCTGACTTGTAAAATAATATAGTTTCACAGTTTCTAGGGTCGGAAGGGACCTGAGCAGATCATCGAGTCTGACCCCCTGCCATGGCAGGAAAGAGTACTGGGGTCAAACGACCCCAGCAAGGTGTACATCTAGAGATATATTATGGTTTATATCTCATTCCTGAGAAGTTTTGTTGTGATTTTTCTGTTGCTAAATGATTATCTTGGCCAATCAGTGACCAAATACAGGTGTTAACATTTTGGAGAATGGTTATTGATAAAAGCAGAGCCGCCCGCCGACCCCCAGCACAGCCGGAGGCAAGCGGGGCCCATGGTGGGAGGGGGTTAACCCCTCACTGAGTGGGAGGAGGTGGCTGCGTGGAGCCAGGCCGGGTCAAGCCCCGCCCAGTCCCCTACTTCACCCAGCCCCTCAGGGAGAGAAAGAGGTAGGAGGGGGTACTCACCAGTCCCCCTCCAGTAGGGCAGGGCCCCCCCAAATCCTGGGCAAGGCCCCCCCTTGCCTGAGAGCAGCTTTCCCCTATGGCAGGCCTACTGCACATATGTGCAGTTTAAAAGGGCCCGCCAACAGCAGCAAAAAAAGCCCCAGTTAGCTTCTGGAGCAGCAAGAGACACGCGGGTGAAAGCCCGCTGTGCCCCCGCTCCCCCGAAACCCCCCAGACACCTCCCAGCAGTCATTGAGCCCCCCACTGACCCTGAGCACAGCTGGAGGCAAGCGGGGCCCATGGTGGGAGGGGGTTAAGCCCTCACTGAGCGGGAGGAGGCAGCTGCATGGAGCCAGGCCGGGTCAAGCCCCGCCCAGGCCCCTACTTCGCCTAGCCCCCCAGAGAGCTACGCAACTGAAGCAGCGTGAACAGGCTGCGCAAACAGGCGCGCTTGTCTGCCAGTGCATGAGTTAGTGCGGAGTTCATGCAGGAGGGCCCGAGACCCTGCCTGCGAACCCCCCAGGGTAGACAGTCCCAGCCATAGCCAGTCCACCAGAGGCATGACACAGATGGAAACATGTCATACCCCGAGGGTCCCCGAGGGCACCTCAGAGACGGCCGCGCAGATGGAGCCCACAGTTCCGGGCTCCATGCAGACAGAGCCCCTGGCTCTTGGCTGTGGGGGCTGCCTGTCCCTTTTTCAGGCTCTGGGGCCTGGGAGCATGGCCACCTCTCCATGTGGGGTCTGCTCCCTTTTGGGGTCTCTGGTGTGCCAGCTGGAGGAGCTCCAGACCACAGTCCAGAGACTGCGTGCCATCAGGGACTGTGAGCAGGAGATCGACTCCTACTGCCAGGCCCTTCTCCCCTGGGATCCGGAGGGTAGACCACCGTCTCCCTCCAGGACAAGGGAGGACTGCGGGACCTCCCACTCTGTCCAGTCAGGGGCATGAACCAAGGTGGTCAAGGACCCTAAGACCTGCTGCACCAAGGCCCCTGCCCCGCTGGA